TTTTTCACAGGGAGGTTGGATCAACATGTCAAATTTAGTTCTTTTTTTTTTAAAAAAAATAATAAATTATAGGGACATTGATATACTGCAGATTAAATGAGTCATTCTTATTCATTTCGAAAACTTTTTGATAAGAAAAAAAAAAAAAACTTTACAATAAAGTTTTTAATCACTCATGTTACATTGTGAATTTACGATGATAAATGGATAATTGAATCTGTAGATGATTTACTTGATATTCCTGATATAAGATTCTTATTTCTATTTCTTTTAGACCGTCCATGAGACCAACGGGAAAACCTTTTTATAGCCGCATTTTATCTTTAAGAAAGCACATTAAACAATATGTGAAAGGGTAGGTCGTTATCTACATGCAGAACCTTTTTTTTTTGTTTTTTTCCTATTTTAACGTTAAAAAAGTTGTACAGTAAGTAGATATCGCACACACAAATAATCGGAAAATAATGAATTTTTTTTTTTTTTATTAAAATATATATATATATATAAATCAAATGTTCAGACAACAAATAAATAAATATATATAATATACATTTATAAGATTATTTTGCAAGTTGCATTTTGCAGACATTAAGAGCATAAATACAAACGTATATCAAAAAAACAAATATTCGGAAAAAAATGATTTTTAAAAAAAGGCACACATTTTATTACAAGCATGTTATAACCTTAGAGGAGTTCGCAAATTGCATTTGCGGTTGCATTTGCGGTCTGAGATTTTCCATTGTTAACGTCAGAGAAATTAATATACATACATGAATATATTCGGAAGATATTTTATAAAAACGGCATAACCTTATCAAGAGAATTTTGCAATTACATTTGCAGTCTGCATTGGTGATTTAATTTGGTCACTTTTTCACACAGATTCAATTTGTAATTATATTTCTAACGTTATTCCGTTCGCATTTCATGTGTATTTGTTCGGTGTTTCGTTTCATTAATTTTTTCTTATCTTTACCGGGATGTAACAAGAATTCAATGTGCACAACATAAACCAGCATTCATTTAAAAAGTTACTAAATAAAGTTGAAAAAGAAATTGATCACATTAATATTTATAAACAAACACGAATGATCATGTACCAATCGATTTAAATATGCGGATTGATTAAATAATTCCGAAATTATCCTATCCAATTTGAAAATATCAATAGCCACACTTATTTATCCGAATGTGATTCGTTGGAACTTCTTTTTTAACAGACTTTGGTGTGAATCTTGTCGTCGAATGATATTTACAGTAATCTACTTGATCTATTATTTGTTATTTTTGATGTTTGCTTTTTTGTTTTTCCAGCGAATAAAAATCTAATGATAGAAAATAAATAAACAAATGTTCCTTAAGATTCTTTTTTTTTCCCTTATGAAGGAACATTTTTGTGGCAAAACATGGGTGCATTGTATATCATGTATGGTTTAAGGTTTAACAAATTTTTTTTTTCAATGATAATTATTGAAACGAAAAAGTTATGGCTTGTGATCAAAAATGATAGATTTTACCTAAAATGAGAAAGTTATTCTCGGGAATTTTTTATTTGTCAAAAAAACAAGTTTCAAAAACCCATTTAAACATTTTGAGGTGTAAATAACCTCCCTCCTGACTATGCTATGCTTAAATGTTTTTTTTTCTATCTTGCGTTACGACCGATTTTAGCAATGTTATCTAAATAAATATTTATTGTTGAAATCTTCGAAAGTATCTCGGCACCTTAAATTTTACTAAATATGGATCATATTTATCCGGTTAATCATGACACACCATCGTTTCGTTTTTTCACGCCCTTTACAACTTTTTATTGAAAATCATTTCACGGTATTATTAATGAACAACCTTTTTTTCCCTTTAAAATATCCATATATATCCATTGTATTTGGTAAGGTACAATTATAAACATGCACCAAAGAAATTGGCAAATTGCCAAGGTAACACGGGGGAATCTTCAACACCGATAATGCTCAAATTTTACTAATAAAAGATTTCCTTTTCGTACATTTATCCATTTCCATTAAATTATTATTTTTTTTTTTCGCCAACTTAGTTTATTAATTAAAGCTTGCAGCATAAACAAAAATGAACGTTAAACCCGAAATTCATTATAATAAGTAAATTCCATTTTTCATTGGTTTAACTTTATGTTTTCTTGGGTTGATTCGTATAAACATTTTAATGAACTTAGCCGTGTAAATAGTTAAAAATAATTCAATTTAAATTAATTAATTGTTTGAGTGACAAAATTCCAGGGTCATCACTTAAAATTATCATATGATGTTATTCAATTCGGAATCAAAATGAATATTATTTGTTTGATTTGTCTTCCTTAAATGTAATTATTCTATAGATGAGCGAACGGGTCCTATGATTTATTTGTTTAATTCAAAATATTTATTTCTAATTTTTCATAATATTTTCCTAAATAAATATTTAAATTTATTAAGGCAGGGTAATTTTTTTTTTGGTTAATTAGTTTTTTTTTTTAAAAAAAAAAAACAAAAGTGCAGACGACTTATGATTCGTTAATTCGGAAGAAATAATCCGAAATAGGATCACACAAGATGAGATGAATTGTAGTTAACGAGAAGAAGAATTCGTGAGACGTCTTATGATACAGTCTTTGTATCGTTGACATATGAAATCCAATTGGAAAATATACTCCGGTTGAATTTGGAAAGTATCATCTCAATACCATTATCCCTCTGTTTCAATTTACGCCATATTTATTTATTTTATTTTTTTTTTTTTGCTTTCTCGAAAAAAAAAAAAAAATAACTAATTAATTAAAAAAAAAAAAATTTTATAAAAAACTATTTTTTTTGTTTTCCAAATTAAAACAGGGGCAGCATTTTAATAAATGTGTTGTATTAAATGGGTTGATTGAATGCTATATGCAATGTGTAAGCATCGTGGCACCTTAAGTAAGCAGTTTTTGATTGACCATGGGACCATGGGATTTAGAGGTATGTGCGCGCGAACAGTGCCTAATTGTTGATAAAAATTTTACGAAGGAGAGAATGGAAACTTCATATCGATTTTCAGGGAAAGTAATACAATATAATTATGTTTATCCGAAATAAAAGTTGAGCACAGCCCCCCTCATATCTATCGTATGGTGTGTGCATGTTTTTTTTTTTTTCTTCTTTTTTCAACCTCCGAGTGGTAAACACATTAATACCAAGTTGTGAAATGTTGTTGTCCCTCATTTTGTTTACGTATTATGCATTAAATCTCATAGTCCTCTATTAAATTGGGTTGCATGAATATTCATCCCTTAAAATTTCTTCTTAATGATTTTACTAGGATTGGTCTAATACAAGAAAAAAAAAAATCCCCAAGAAAAAAACTAATTTGTTGTTACAACAATAATTAAAAACGATGAGTTGTTTCATATTCTCATACAATTATGAACAAATTAAAGGTAGTGAATTCTAATCGACAAAACAAATTCATTTCCTTAATTGATGTTTTTTGATCCATTTAAGTTGTTATTAATGCTCGTTTAAATTAAAAAATAAATAAAATTTTTTTTTTTCCTTCGTCAAATGAATGACAATAAAATGTGTCACTCGAGAATTCTCATGTTATGTTAAAGGTTGTATGACAAATATGAATCAATTGTTGTTTATAATACTTGGCCGTTTTATTATTAAACGACGAAAAAAGAATAGAAAAAAAATATACATGAAATAAAACATATTTTGGGGAACGGGAAAAAAAACAGCCATGACATCATTTGAGAATAGACCGGAATTAAGTTGATCCATAACAAGTTGGATTTTTTTTTCGTACTCAAAATGTTGACGAAACAATGATTTAATTAACGAACATTTCGTTCGAGACGAATGTATCATTCCAGATTTTCCATGAAATCTTATCACTTTATATCATGTTAACCGTGTTCCGAAACTTTTATCGATTACTTCCTTGCAAATGTCCATTGCTACTTTCGATTTAATAATGTATTAATTGAGAAGGTACAAGTGTAACTAATAATAAGTAGTCCATATATACATTATTCAAGAAATTCAGCTAATTTTCGTGTAAATTTATAAAAAAAAAAATAAAAAATAAATGATATTGATGCGACATAATACAAATCGTATAAATGCTTTCTTTTTCTTCCCTTATTATTAGTTCAACATACCTGCTTTAATATAATAAAAAGAACTTAAGAAAAGAAAAAAGCCAAGAAGCCACACTGAATTACAGAAGGCATTTATTCTCCACCTTAAAATAGTTCATTTTTGTTTATGAATCCTACGTTTCCGTAAACTAATATATAAATTTATTAGTGAGAAACGCGTAAATTTTTAAATGTTTCGCACTCAATAAATTCATTCGTCAGAATGTGATAAATTACAAGTATTGAAACAAAAAAAGGGGCAAACTGGCGTTAAATCAAGAATTTACTAATTTGGTTGAATTTGATGAACCGTATCTCAATTTTGAAATATGAAAATCAAACGTTCGTCTATGCTTTTAACATGTTTTTTAAAAAATAATGCCAAACAAAATCGGGAAAAGTAAATATTATCAACTCAACTCAACCAATAAAAGGAGTAATAATATAATAGTACATACTCAGATAACAAACCACAAGTATTATAACGATCGCTAGAACCACAATGGGCTAAATCCATAAAGCATGGAAGCATTTTGGTTTCAAAACTGATGGACGTGCTTATTGTCGATATGTTAAAAAATGATATGGAAGAGATATATAACTATAGCTGTTTATATAATACTCAAACTAGAACTTGGCAAAATTATTTAAATTCCTTTCATAAAGCGTAAAAAGGTAAATATATTTTTCATGATTATAACTTCTTAAATTCATTTACTTATCATTTCACTAAATGACTTTATTAAAGATGGGTGAACAATACCACATAAAAAAAAAATAAAACAACGCGAATGGCAAAGCTGACTGGCTTGTAACAAATTCTCGTTCCCTTAATTCGGAAATTGGAAAAGGTTTTTTACGTATGGTTAACAAGCTTGATCCCACATTTAGACCTCCATATTTTGGTTGCGGTTATCAAGTCGTGGGTATATCATCAATCAAACCTTATAACTACAGTACTTCTCATGCAAAATCCGGATATATTGGAATCACATGTCATTGGCTTACAAAAAAAATGGAATTATTTGATATTTTGGTTTACGCCGAACAAATTATTTATCAGATGATAATGTTACGTCAGAATATTAGAGCCAAACCTAAATTACTTGGATTGGAAAGTAAAGTAAAATCGGCAATTACTGATAATAGTAATACGGTAAAAGCCATCAAGGAATTGTAGATTCGTGTTCTATGTAGTGCACATAAAGGACTATACGATTTAAAAAATTATCATTTTTTCTTTACTTCACTTAAACAAAATGAACTACTGGAAGAAGCAAAAAGAGAATTGGGAATTAGACGCGAAAGTCAAAGGAAATATTCCAAAATTTAATAATTCAGCACACAAATGAATCATGAACAATAGAAGAAAGAAATCAAGGATTTTAAGATCTATTGATGATGTTCTATAACTTCTTGGAAAAGTTTACACGAGTTAAAGGACGTGTAATCTTAAATTTAAATTGAAAAGGGGATAATGATGCTAGAAAGGATTACGAGAAATTAAAGAATCGAAATCTTAAAGATTATGAAGTAGATCTTGTTAACCCTAATTGAGGAAGTAGCAGAGTGGTTAGGCGGAAAAAGTGTTGTACTCTCTCTTTAAGGTAACCAGCCATTCACGTATTAAAATATGATTATATACCAGTTATGTTGATAGAACAAGAAGAAATATCGAAAAATTAGGAAAGTGGTAAGTTAATTATTTTTAAAAAAGATATAAGCCAAGTTATAACTAATAATCAGTTCTAATTAATAAGATTTGTTAATTTAGTGATGGTGGATGATAATGGATGATGATGATGATGATGAATTTGATGAAGAAAAAGTAGCAATAAATCACAGAAAATTATCTTCAAAATAATACACGACATCTTAACATTATTAATTCTGTTATACAAGCAATTTATGATGCTTTGTTTGATTATTTTGATATACCGCCTAAGCTGCTTTGCTTATAAGTCTTTTAGATTCAAGTATTAAGAAGATGCGTGGATGACCTGAAGAAATACGAATTAGTAAAATATCATTTTTTAAAAAAGAGTATCAATTGATGAAAAGCAAAGAATCTGATACCTGTTTATAGATTAGTGGGTTTAAGTCACGTGTATTTGCATCTGAAAAAGCTGAGATTAATGGTGGTGACGAGGTTAATCGCTACTTGGATAATATTAAAACTCACCCGAAATGGTTCCTTTTTAGTGGTGGTGGTTGAGCATGAATTAAAGATTATTCCAAATAGCTAGTGCGACTTTTATTAATGCTGATAATCAAATTAATAGCGATCGAAATCGGTTGAAATCTGAATCAGTTAACGAATTATTATTCATAAAATGAATATTGTAATCCAGATCAATAATAATAATCACGTGAAGTTCCGTTCCAACGTAACATTGGTCATACAAACAATGAAAAAATAAAAGATTTTTTCATTCTGTGAAATTGAAAGTAATTTTAGACTTATTAGAAATTTCTTAACATCATCAGATAAAAGCAAGTGATAACGCGGTGCAAAGAACCCTTTTTTGAATGATTTAAATTATTTTCGTAGCACCAAGGATTCCTCCAAGTCAAAGTTTTATTAACGAAAAGGCAAGAAAAGAGCGACATGAGGTCATCTTGTTTTTCCTCAAATAACAAGAATATTGAGTATGGACATTATTATTAAGAAAAATTCGTAAAAAAAAATAAAAATAAAATAAAATAAAAAAAATTTCGAATGTAAGGACCAATCACCTTTATTTGATTAATTATCAATGCAAAAGTTATTGACAACATGATTTCTATTCAACAACTTTCAAGCAATTTATTTTACAACAAGAAATTTACAGTCTCTCCATGAGGAAATGCCCAGAGATAAAGTATTTAGATATGAGGTTACTTAAGCACCAGATTTTTTATTTCTGGACGCATCGGATCACTTTCAATCACTCTATGAATTAAAATGCGATACTAGTATCTGTCACTCTATACAAAGGCTCATAATTATCAATGCAAGCACATATCCTAATCCTAATTATGGAATCGCCAAGCTATCAAGGTTCAGAAGAATTTGAAATATTTTGAGTGGAATGATGATGATTATGTAGCAGAACAAGTCGTTTATTAAGAAAGTTTTCTGGATTAAGGAAAAAGGCGGATACCCTTATTCAATTGGATAGGATTGTTTCGGTACGATAATCTGTATAGTTAAAGACGGTGGAGGGAAAATTTTGATCGATCATTATTTTGACATTGAGGATGATAACTTTCATGATGATTCTCTTACCTTTCTTCGTGCAATTTATGAAAATTGTCCTTTGGTCGAATATTTGTATTTGTCACTTGCATTTCGATCAACAATGGAAAATTTCATGGAATTCGAAATTTACTAAATCTTGCCAAACGTTAAAGGTGTTGCTATTAAATATAGTTGTTTATATAAGAGTAACACCCTATTTAATAAGATATAATCAGTTTGAGTTTGGAGAAAAGTTATCAAAAGCATTGGTTAAATCAGCACAAAATCAACTGAGAGAAATAGATTGAATGGTTATAGTAAATTTTCATTGGAAACCTTGGGGTCCTTCTTAGAAAATTGGAGAGGTCGAACTTCGCTTTCTATTATTACACCGAACTCTGATTATAATCATACAAAAATACAAGAATGGTGTAATTAAAGATTTTAAATGTGGTACCGTGAGGAATATTTATTTTAGTTATGACTTTTAGATGGTTATAAGTCAGCATTTCTTTTATTGTATACAAATCGTTTATTAAATGATAATTTTTTTTTCCTCACTTTAATAATGTAAATAACAAAATTTTGATTGATGAGAAATGTAGTTCGCTCGTGGGTTGCTGCGGCATTTGATCTCGTGACCATCGTCCTTTTCTCATTTGGCATAAAATCTTCTAATAAATCCTTTAGCAACGGAGGAATCGTTAAAGTTGGAAACTTTTTTACGTGATAAGCAGAATAGAACCCGTTGGTTCATCACCCCTTCTAAGTTAGCGGAAAATTCAAGCGATTACCAATTTGATATATTAATCTGGGCTATGTATTAACGTTAAGAATTTAAATAAATGAAACTTTAATGGATTACGCTCGCTCATACTCAAATTTTTTTGATTTATTAATACAAAAAGCAGGAATTCGAAATAAACGATGGACGGTCATTTGTTTTGTTTTTACGAAATGTATTATGATTTAAAGGATAGTATGCCGCGGAACGGTAGGAATAGCAAAATGTTTCGTTTTCGTTAGAAAAGGTTTGTAACAAAAAGACGAATGAATGCAATATTATTATAGTTTGTATAAATTCAATAATGTTTTACCAACACTAAATAATATCAATCACGAAATCACTTTATTTACATTCTTTTTTCTTGATAATGGTGGTGTTATTACATATACTAAGCTAATTAGTCGATAGTATTCACTTCACTTCTATTGTTATTGCGCGAAACATTAATGAAGTAAATCATGTGAATTTCTTGAATAAACGAAATCACACGTGATAAATGTATATTTGATGCTGTAAAAATTAGTCATACATACGGTATACTGTATTATTTAAAAATAAAAAATATACAGAAAACGAGAAACTTTTTCCTTTTTAAAATAATTTAAAGCTTATATAAAATAATCAGAGTTACTTATCCACTTTTGCAGAAGTTTATTTTTTATTTCTCATTTCTTTTATAAAAAAATAAACCTTACATATTGATCTTAATCAAAAAATGTCTAACCTCAATAAAGATATTCTTTTCCTTTTATTCGAGGAATTGCGAGATGATTCAAAGTCTTTATTTTCATGTCTTTTAGTTAATACAAACTGGCTTGAAACCGCGTTACCAATCCTATGGAAGAACCCTTGGCGTTATGAAGACAATGTAAATTATCGAAACAAAAGTTCACTGTATTTTCTTATTTTTTTCTCCTTATCAAATTATATCAAGGAGTTTCTAACAAGTCAAGGAGTTCGATTACCTCCGATTTCATATCGATCACCTCTATTTGATTATTTGTTCTTCTGCAGGAGTATTAATGTAAATGTTATCAACAAAATAATCTCTATTGGTTGTTCTTCAACTTACAATCAATTCCTTTTGCAACAAGAAATTTACGGTCTCTTGATGAGAAAATGCCCAGAATTTAAAAACTTAAATATGAGATCACTTCACCACCAAATCTTTTTTTTTCCAGAAGCAAAGTATCGATTTAGATCACTCTTTGAATTAAAATGTGATACATCTATTGATCCCACCTACTTTTATGGATTGGCGAGCATTTGTAAATATGTACAAAGGCTCATCATTATCAATACCAGCGTAACCCCTAATAATGGGATTGTTAAACTGATTGAGGTTCAAGAAAATTTAAAATATTTCGAGTGGAAGGATGATTTTAATGACATTGATGAAGTGGATTTTACAAGAGATACTTATAAAGAAAATTTTCTTGCATTAATGAAGAAGGCAGATACGTTAATTCATTTTGTAATAAATTTGTATTATCATGATTATTATTACACACCTTTAATGATAAAATTTTCAAAACTCCTCAATTTAAAAACATTAAAGATTGACGTTTCCTATCTCGAATTCGAAGATCAATTAAGAACTTCAACCTTTCTTAACCTAGAATCCTTTCAAATAGATTTAATTGAAATTAACACGGTCGTTTGCATAATTAAAAATTGCGGTGGAAGACTTAGGAAGATTTTGATCGATGATTATAACTTTGATGAAAATTTTTATGAAGAATCCCTTATCCTTATTCGTACGATTTATGAACATTGTCCTCTAATTGAATATTTGACCCTCACATTTCTTTCATCCAAAGAGCACTTTATTGAATTTGAAAAATTACTCGTAATTTGTCAAAATTTGAAGGTATTATTATTGGAGATATCCGAAAGTATTAATGATGTCAATGAATATGAATTGATTGAAGGAAAAAGATTTTTATCCGGGGAGAGATTATTAAATGTGTTGGTTAGGTCTGCACCATTTAATTTAAGAGAAATTAGATTTTTTGGTCATTTTAAATTTTCATTGATAATCCTAGAGGAATTTTTAGAAAATTGGAGAGGTCGACCCGCTCTTTTGATAATTACATCAGACCATGATCATGAAAAAGAGGCATATATAAAGATAATTAATAAATACAAAATTGACGGCGTGATTAAAGATTTTAGATATGAAATGTTTTGATTAATTAGACAAGTATCGTTTTGGTCTAATCGACTAGTTATTATTATTTGTACGCAAAAAAAAATCAGTGAATACATCAAAAAGAAAACAAATGAAATTAATGTAATTGATTACGACAATAAAAGATTATAAAATCGACAAATTAATGGTTGTCATAAATTAATTATAATTACGTGTAATTATTAGCACAATAAGATTTACGCTCTTTACTATATAAAACTTACTAACCTTAAATTATTAGATACTTATATTTTAATTGTTCTTTAGTTGAGATACCGTATTCCTCCGAAAATAAGCAACCCCGAAAATAGTATTATATCCGAAAATAAGCAACATGATGCTTTAAATTAATATAACTTTATAATTGTTATTTAAAAAACAATTGAAAATATATTTATAATAGATTCTTAAATTTTATTTTATCATATTAAATACAATCGCTAGCACTATTATTGTCATTATCAATATCACATCATCACAATCGCCATCATCATCACTATCACCATCATCGTCATTGGTATCAATGTCGTCTTTATCAATAATCTCTAAATCAGAATCTGGTTCATTTAAGTCAATCGATAGTTCACATGTCTTAAAGGATCATATGATGATTTCGTCAGAAATTCTTTCCCAGGAATTTTTAACCCATAAACACACATCATTAAACTTAGCATGACGAAGGTTTCCCGCGGCTGTTTCTCCTGCACCGCCACAAGCCACCCAAGCATGCCATTCCATATGGAGGTGATTTTTAAATGGTTTGTTTATCGCAATGTTAAGTGATTAGCAAATATTACCGCGAGATCAAAGCCACACTCATAAAATTTTTCTTTTAACCGATTCTTCTAAATGGCCTCTAAAAGAATCGTATACAAGCATTAAGTGTTCTACAACCTTAATTTGTCCGTGTTCTTTCGCGTAGGTAACTACCTGTATTTTTTGTTCAATAGAATATGAAGTGCGCTTAACAATCCTTTTTCTTATAGGTTGCGGCATTTTTTTTTACAAGCATACAAATGAATTGGAATGGATCAAACGTAAAAATGTCGATCAAACGTGACAAACAGGTGACCAACAGTCACGGGATCGAATTTGGAATTTTTCGATATATATTAAATATTATAAAATTCTGAAAATACCCGAAAATAAGCAACCTTATAATAAAAAAAGGTTGCTTATTTTCGGAGGAATACGGTATGTGTTACTTCCATTCGTGACGAATAAACCTAACCCACCGAAAAAAATAAAAATTGAAACATCACCAGTGTCACACCGGTGACAAACTAACCCTAACCCTAACCCTAACCCTAAATAATCTCAATTATACATACATGTAACTGATTAAATTTATTAACATTCGAAATTAATTTCTTCATCATCAAATAAAGTTTGGAATCGAAAAGCTCCTTGCTAAAGTTCAATATCAATCTTAAAAAATATATAAGAAACAAATGAAGAGATCGGTGGTAATTAATATAAATCCTACGCATGAATGCATTTTACGTACTTTGCATCAAATTCGAGTTCCAAACTGTTTCAAAATTATAGTTTCGCCCTTAGCTTTTTTTTTTTTTTCAGCAGTTATAATTTTCATGCTTTTTTTTTTGGTTTCATCTCAAAAACATGTTGCATTTTACGTGAAAGTAGCATACATTTTATTAAATTTAACGATCATGATTGATAATTTTTCTTAAATAGGAGTCTTTTTCTTGTTATTTGAAGAAATAATTACATCTCTCTTGTCGTTAATAAACTTTGGTGTTCCGAATTTAGATATTATAAATTATACCTACATATTATTATTCCGATGATAAAAAAATTTTTCTGAAAAGTAGAGTATCAGCACAAGAAATATAATTTCTATTGCCGCCAGTCATGATGAGGAAATGCCCGAGTTAAATATTTAGATGAGATAAGTTAAGCACCAAATATTATGTCTTTAATCACTTTTTTATTGAATTAGAGAATTTAAAATAGAAGACAACTTGTAAATGATTACTAATAATAATTATTATCATTATTATTGAATGATCGCTGGAATATCATAACTTACAAATGGGAGGATCTTGAGAAATTATAATCATGATACGACATTTATGATGATCCGTAGAAAAAGGTTCATTCCGAAGAAAATTATATATAAATGTATTAGTTATATCAGCTATTGAATGATTTCGTACAATTAATTAGTTGATTTGTTGATTTGAATGATTGAATTAATAATGAAAAGGAAAGATGCGTAATATCATATAGTGATGATATCGTACAAGCAATTAATATAGGAATAAAGTTCAAATTTTTTTTTAGTTGATACGCAAGGTTATCTTTATTATTACTTTGAATATTGCAAATTAGATCGAAATTTCAGGAAACAACATTCTATAAAAGATCAATTTGTTGAACGTTCCAAATTTGGCCCTAGCTGGAAGGGTCTGGTGATCTTATCGGATAAACGTTACACAATCGCTTTGAACTTAAAAAGACATTCAAAAATGTGCAATCATACATAGATTAATTGATTAAATTGATTAAAAATATATATATATATATAAGAACGAACTCCGTTTGATTTTAATTTTTTTTAAAAAAAAAATGTCCAAGTTAAATGAGTATATTCTTTCCTTGATATTTGCAAAATTACAGGAGGATTCACAATCTCTTTTTTCAAGTCTTCTGGTTAATAGACTTTGGCTTGGATGCGTAATTCCTGTTTTATGGAAAGATCCTTGGTTCAATGGAGGCAAAAAGATAGAATATCGATACAAACTTTCCTTGTACTATGTGATTACTTTTCTCTTATCCGATGGTGTTAAAAAATCTCTAACAAAACAAGGAATCAGATTGCCTCGAACTTCTCATCAGTCACTCCTATTCGATTATTTATCTTTCTGCGAAAGTATTAACGCAAATGTTATATCCAAAATAATTTCTATTGGTGCTTCAACAACTTATAAACAATTTCTTTTACAACAAGAGATTTACGCCCTCTTCATGAGAAGAATTCCAGAGTTAAAATATTTGGATATGAGGTCGATGAAACATCACATATTTTACTTTCCGGGGGCCAAGGCTCGTCTTGAGACGTTATGTGATTTAACATGCGACACGTCTATTGATCATTCACTCTTTTATGGATTATCCCAAATCTGTCAAGATATACAAAGAATCACTATTTTTCATACAAGCGTAAAAGCTAATTGTGGAATCCTTAGGTTGATTGAGGCCCAGAGAAACTTGAAATTTTTTGAGTGGAAGGATCATTTTAATGATGATTTAGATTTCGTAAATAACACCGCTCATGATGAAATTTTTCTTGCGTTAAAAAAAAAGGCGGATACACTCCTCCATCTTGTGACGAATTTTCATAATTGTCATTACATTAATAATAACGATATTATTCCTATTCATAGAAATGATTACATATTTCCACCATTGATACTTCCAGAACTTCATAACTTGAAAACGTTAAAATTTAATTCTCCTTTTTTTACCAGACCCAATTATGAAAGTCAATTAAAAAGATCATTCTTTCATAGTCTTGAAGTCCTTCAAATAGATTATATTGAAATTGAAACAGTTATGTGTATAATTAAAAATAGTGAAAAAAGTCTTAGGAAACTTTTAATCAAGAAATTCATTTATGACGCTCAAGATGAGCATTTTTGGGACGATTCTCTTTTGCTTATTCGTATAATTTGTGAAAATTGTCCTTTAATAGAACATTTATCAATTGTAATTCCACCATCAAAGAGTCATTACATTGAATTCGAAAATTTATTAAAATCATGTCAAAGATTGGAGGCGTTATCATTGATTTTAGAGCATATAAACAATAGGTTTGATGACAGTTTATTCGAACAAAAAAAGTTGGAGGCTGGAGAAAAATTATCTGATATATTGATTAGGTCCGCGCCAATTAGGTTAAGAGAAATCAATGATTTTAGATTTTCACCTAAAACCCTACGTGAAGTTTTAGAGGATTGGAAAGGTTTACCAACGATTTCTATTCTTTTATCAAACCCTGATTATCAAGAAGAAGAATATGTGAGAATAATTGAGGAATACAAGTGTTACATAAGATATCCTTCTAGTTATGACCTGTAGACTCCTTATATTTTTATCGGTTTTTTTTTAAAAAAAAAAAAAAAAAATAGAGTAATGTTGGGCCTGAGATAACGGACTTTCCTATCAAGTCTAATTGTATAAATATGGACTACATAAATTTTGCTTTTTTCAGATAGATTCAAAGTTCTTTTCCGAATTTTTATCATCCGGATAGGACATTAAAAAAAAAAAAATAGACATTATTATCATTTAAATGTTTTAAAAAATATCAAAACAAAATAAAATACCCGGATTTCACGGAAGCCATTATAGTGTGATTTTCCCAGAAAAAGGTTCCTTATAAATTGTCTTTCAAACCTTTTTTAATCATTAATTCTATTTAATCACATCGATTTTTATTCCAACTTTTCTATTTTTTTCTTGTTGTTATTTGAGATTCGGAATGTCCTGCAGGATTTAAAATGCAATTATTTCTTTTGTAAAAATGATGTTAACGCGCGATCCTAAGACCTAAACTTTTATTATCTTCAAATAGAGTAATTTTTCCAATTCAAAGAATGCTTCTTTGATGACGTAAATGCAAGTGAGAAATATTAAAGAACGATTTACATAAATTGTACAAATAACGATTCTTCGTAAATATGATAACAAATAGCTGTTCTTATTTATTCAAGTGACTTTGATGATTTCAATAAAATTTATTTGGTAGACAATATAGAACGATTGACGTACATTACATTGAGTTTATTTAAAATTTTTGTAAAACCACAAAAGCAAATTTTTTTAACAAAAAATTGCTTCACAAGCTTTAACTGCAACATTAAAAAATTCATTTGCACTGACCTTATCATAGTGAACCTCTGTGAAAGTCACTTGAAATGCATATATTATACCACTTATAATCAATAAAAAACTATTAATTAAAAAATAAAATTAAATAAATAATATACAAATAACAAATCATATAAAAATAATTACTAATATGTGAAATGTTTTAACTAAAAATTTTTATATATATTAAATTTATCCTTTCAAAATAATCAAGATTTATGTAAGATAAAATAATTATATAACCTTTTTTCTTTTAAAAAATATAACTATAGAGGATTTATAAAATCTTTACTTTTTAGTATAAATTTTCTAAATAAGTTTACAATTCTTCTTATTCATTTTGATACCATTTAAAATCAAAATAAAAACATTTCCAATAATATCTATCAATATATTTTATTGTTTAACTTATTATTACAACAAATATCTAAAAAGAATTATGATTTATAATTATAAAAACTACATATTCTTTTTTTTAATAAGTTGTACTTGTAATATTTACTGAAATTTTTGAATACCAATGATATTTATTTATTAAGCTATTTAATCTGCAATTTACTGATAATTAGATATACTAAAACATTAATCAATCAAATAATGGCTAGATTTAGCTCATACTTCATATTCTTATAAGAGATTAAAATTAAATTTGATTGAAATTTTTATCACATAAAGATATTCATTTACAAATTAAAATTTTAAGTCAAAAAGTATAAAAACTTATCTGACTTAATAAAATATACTTAAAAATAAATACAACTTCTAAATTAATAATACATTTTAAAATAACAAATTAGATAAATTGATAATAAAAATATATATATATATATAAAGATCAGTCTAGCAAAAATAGTATATTAAAAAATATAATATTTATAATTTATAATTGTTATATTTTTTATTATTATATTTAATGAATAAAATAAACTTGCTAAAAAATCTAATGCTTTTAATAACTTGCAAAATTTTATTCTAGTTTATATAAAACCAATTTTAAAAATCTTTAAAAATAACAGAATAAATTGCAATTTACTAAATTAACTAATAATTTTAAACTGCAATTTTCTTGAAATTATGTGATTTATCGAACTTTAGCTTTTGCTAGACTGATCCTATATATTTGCATTCAAATATATCTTTAAAAATAATAAAATTCTTAAAATAAAGAAAAATGCTCAAGAATTATTATAATAAATAAAACCATTAAATTATTGGAATTATAATTATATTCTTAATAATTACATAATTAATTACAAATTAACTGTTTATTAAATAATTATTATTTTTATGATTGAAAATTAAGCTATTTATAATAAAATTTTTAAACTAATTGCTAATATATTGCAAAGAACTATATAATAATTGATATTATTTCTCTGTAATATTTATATTATAAATAAAAATAATTACTTTTTTTTAAATGTAGTAGTTTTACATAATCTTTATTAAAATTTATAAATAATGAAAATAATTACTACTTAATTATTATTTAATAGTATTATAAATATGAATAAATATGTTATTTTATAATATTTTACATTTAAAGCTAGTTATAATAAATCTTTTTATAATAAATACTAGATATATAGTCAATACTTTTTATAACGAACTATAATTCTATTAAAAAAAAGTTTATTATATAAATTACTATGCTTTTTATATAAACTATTACACTTTTTATAATGAACTATTATTAAAATTTAAAATTTGTGAGTTCATTATATTTAGTGTTCATTATAAAAAGATTTATTATAACAAACTTTGACTGTAATCAACTTACAATTTTTAAATTTTAATAATAGTTCATTATAAAAAGTGTAATAGTTCATATAAAGCATAATAATTTATATAACAAACTTTTTTTAATAGGATTATCAGTTCATTATAAAGAGTGTTAACTGTAATTATTACTATATTTTTATTATATAATTAATACATTTTTTATTGATTATAAGTG